AAGCGCTAGCCAGGTGTGGCAAAAGTTAGTTCTGTAATCACAGAACTGGGAGGCAGAGGCAAGGGGATCCCTGAAGTTCACCAGCCGGTTTAGCCACCTGGTGAGCTCCAGCTGTCATGAGGGAACAAATGAGGGAGAGAGCAGTGGGCACGTCCTCCACACACGCATGCACAGGTGCACACACAGAATACTTCAGCATCCTCATCAGCACACAGGACAGGTCTCTAGGACTCTGGAAGGTGAGTCCCCACGCCATCCGCATGCTCAAATGTATTTCCTTGACCCTGGATCATGGTCTAAAAAGGACAGAGGTAAGTTATCAGTATGTAGGGTAGAAACAACCTCCCTCGATTCTGACGAGGAACAGCAAACAGCCAGCACCAGAAGAAGTTGTCCCTGTGCTGATAAATAACTGGAAGAAGGAATGTGCTAAGTCAAGGAAACAGCCTGTGCAGATTATGTATGCATCTCCCAAAGATCCCAGCAAGCCCAAGGGAAGTTCCCAGTTGGATGTGAATGAGGAGGTCGAGGCGCTGATTGTCAAGTCCCCCCAGCAGGACAAGGAGCCCTCTCTGTTCAAGGTGTTATACAAGACCTTTGGGCCCTACTTTCTCATGAGCTTCCTGTTCAAGGCCCTTCATGATCTGATGATGTTTGCTGGCCCCGAGATCTTGAAATTGATTATCAACTTTGTGAGTGACAGGGAGGCTCCCGACTGGCAGGGCTACTTCTACACAGCTCTGCTGTTCTTCAGCTCCTGTCTGCAGACATTGGTTCTGCACCAGTACTTTCACATCTGCTTCATCAGCGGCATGCGCATCAAGACAGCTGTGGTGGGCGCTGTCTACCGCAAGGCCCTTGTGATCACCAATTCAGCTAGAAAGTCTTCTACGGTTGGGGAGATTGTCAACCTCATGTCCGTAGATGCCCAGCGCTTCATGGATTTGGCCACATACATTAACATGGTCTGGTCAGCCCCTCTGCAAGTCATCCTAGCCCTCTGGCTCCTATGGCTGAACCTGGGTCCTTCAGTGTTGGCTGGAGTGGCTGTGATGGTATTCATGGTACCCTTCAATGCTGTGATGGCCATGAAGACCAAGACCTACCAGGTGGCACACATGAAGAGCAAAGACAACAGAATCAAGCTGATGAATGAGATCCTCAATGGGATCAAAGTACTTAAGCTATATGCCTGGGAGCTGGCCTTCCAGGACAAGGTCATGGACATCAGGCAAGAAGAGCTGAAGGTGCTAAAGAAATCTGCGTACCTGGCGGCTGTGGGCACGTTCACCTGGGTCTGCACACCTTTCTTGGTGGCTCTGTCGACCTTTGCTGTCTATGTGACAGTGGATGAGAACAACATCCTAGATGCAAAGAAAGCCTTCGTGTCCCTAGCCCTGTTCAATATCTTGCGCTTCCCACTCAACATCCTGCCCATGGTCATCAGCAGCATTGTGCAGGCCAGCGTCTCCCTCAAACGTCTCAGGATCTTTCTGTCTCACGAGGAGCTGGAACCAGACAGCATCAAGCGGTGGCCCGTCAAGGATGGTGGGGGGATGAATAGCATCACTGTGAAGAATGGAACGTTCACATGGGCTAGGGATGAATCTCCCACACTGAATGGCATCAACTTCTCCATCCCTGAAGGAGCTCTTGTGGCCGTGGCGAGCCAGGCAGGAGCTGTGGCGATCGCTGGAGTGACTAAGGGCAGGCAGGCGGGACTCTGTGGCAATCGCGTTCGGGGCCGCGTTTGCGTCCCAGGCTGCGCGGCTGCGGGCGGGGGAGTCGGCAGCCTGCGTGCCTGACCTGCTGCAGACACAGCGGGTCTAAAGAGCGGGTGCTGTGCCCCACGTTGGGCGCCAAATGCAGCGGTCGGATTAATAATCACCAAAAGTAATAGGTATTTGAACAAGTTTAATAACAAAACCAGACTCACGAAACCAAGGTTCCAGCGGAGTAGCCGGCGGAGACAGGAGAGGAAGGGAAGGGGCGCACAGCCTCTGCCCGCCCAATATATCAGTAAACATACGCCCGAGGGCAGCCCGCCCCCAAGGGGAGGGCTTATCCCTACAAGCACCATCTCATGCTTCAGGGATAGCAGGGAGAGGCTGGCCATGCCTGGTGTGAGGACACCTTTGCCAGTGGACTCAGCGCCAACCAAGGGACAGCAGGCTGCGATTTAAAGTAGAAACCCCTATTTCAACATGAAAGTCCACAACTTTTAAATGTTAAACTCTTAAAAATAAGTGCCTAAGGAACCAAGTCACTAAGCTCAGTCACCCTGTGCCCAACCCTGGAAGACCACATTCTCGGCGTTCTCGGCGGTCACACATCCTTCAGTCAGTACTCTAAGACGGAGCGTCTCTCTCTTCAGAGGGAAATGAGTTTGCTTTGTTTGTGGTGCTGGGGATCGAAACATGTGAGCTCACACGTGTTAGGCAAGCACCCTACCACTGAGCTGATGCCCAGTTGAGGAGGCCCAGCTGTACACAGAGCTGATACAGCAGCCTCCTGGCTACCATAAGCCTGTGTCGTTATTCAATAAACAAGGACAGCATCGAAGATGACTGAAATGCGGACTGCCCTGAATCTGGGCCTCTGATTGCCTCATCTTACAATGAGGAAACATTGGGTCAGGGAGGAGATGTCCCCACAGGCTCCCACCTGACAAATCACTGGGAAGGATGACAGCCCTGCCCAACTTAAGCCACAGGTCACAACCCCTATGCTACATTATGGGGTGAGGGGCTCATATCTACCCAATCCTTCTCTCTGGATTTCACATTCCTCATTCTATCCCAAAGGACTGCTCCTGGGGCTCTCCAACTTGATCTCAGTAGATAAACCACCAGTCCTGCTCCCTTGGGAGGCTTTTAATCACTCCCTGCAAGGGAAGAGGTCTTGATCAGCCAAGGCGGGGCTAGCAGCCAGTGAATGGTTAATTAAGGCAGCCAACAGAGATGACAATGAAACCCTGGCAGCCACCCCAGGGCTAAGCCAGTGCTCTGTTCCTGGCTTCTAATTGGCACAGCAGACAACAGCAGAGCCTGTCCCCACTTCCAGGCCACAGAGGGAAGCTAAGCTGAGGCAGGTGGGGCTGAGGGCTGAGGCCCTCACAAAGGCCTCGGGGCTTTGCTGGTTATCAGAGTCAAGAAACAAGAGACTATTCTAGCCTGTGAGGCCACAGGAAGAGCTAATCTCCCTGTGAGGCCAAGAGGTCAGAACTTGTGCAGGATGAGTTGAAGGAGAGGGCGAAAGTTCAGGGAGCTGGGGAGGAAGGGTCACTCCTAAGCAACACAAGCCATTGTCTCCCATGAGCTGTGGCACAACCTGCAACCACCCTCAGAGACCATGCGCTCTCTGGGTTCTAAGCACTAAGACTCAGAGAGAGCACCCACAGGATCACAATCGCCCAAATACTGCTTGCCTCTGCGGCCAGCAGCTGAGGCCACCCACTGGAAGCAATCAAGGGCCCCAAGTAAAGATGGAAACAAAGAAAAAGTGGATTTAACAAACACAGGGGACTCTGAGAAAATCTTACCAAGCAGCCCAAACCCTGTCCCACACCAAATGTAGGCTTAGGATGCACCCCAGGAAAGCTTCTGAGACCCCACTATAAATCACTGTCGTCAACTTCTGAGGTAGGCAAGGTGGGCAAGGCACCTTGCAGAAGCTGACTGAAAGACACTGAGGTCTTTGACCCAGATTTTCTTAGGATTAGCCCCTCCTCACCTTTTTTTGTTTGGTTTGGGTTTTGTCTGGTTTTTGAGACAAGGTCTCACACAGCCCAGGCTGACCTCAAACTTCTTATCCTTACGCCTTCAACTCCCTAGTGCTGGGATTTTAAGTATGCACCACCAAGCCTGGCTCCCTGGCTGGCTTAAAGAAGACCTGGGGGTACTAAAGACAATTATGTGTGAAATTCCGCAGGGAAAGGAATTCACCCCAGGCACAGTCTCTCGATCCACAGAACCGTGGTCTTTTCTGGGAATGAGCTCTTCATTAGATAAACAGGAATCAAAGGTTTGCTGAAGAGCTGAGAGAAAATAAAGAAGGCCTAGAACTAGGTGTGGTGGCAAAGGAGGCTGGGGCAGGAAGATTGAAGGTCAAGGTCAAAGACTGACAGCAGACAGCCTCACTGGCTTGGCCAGAGGCCACATCATACCATGGTATCTGACAAGACTATGTGGACAAGGTACACAGGAGACCCTGGTCTCAAATAGAGGCATCGGCCAGATTCCCTCAGACACCCCCACCACACACGCCTGCTCTGTGTGAATGGCCAGTGGAAAGAGGACACATTTTTCCTCAGCAGTAATGCTTGCATTAGCATGAGGACAAGGAAGAGTTGGGAACTGGAGGTAGCAGGCAAAAGAAAGGTCCCAAAAACTCTGCCTTTGAAACATGAAGAATGGAAAGATGCCCAGCCATCTCTGTATGACAATATATTTCCAAGCTCATGGCCAGAGCAGAACATTCACCTGGCAGGCTTGCTCAGCCATTCAGTGGGAGCAGTAAAGGCCTATGTACTTCTGGAAAGAGGAACGAGTTAGCGTGCATCCAGGATCATCAAGGGCCAGAGTCCCACTAAGCACCAAGTGTTCCTTGTTTTCAGGGACAGTATTTTACAGCACGACTCTGAGCTCTGAGACCTGCGGGGTTTCTGGTGCTGCTGAAGTCATTTAATTACACAATGTCATGCTATCCCCATGCATCGAATTCAAACAGATTATTAATTTCCCAAACACTGCTACACCACACTGGTAGAATCAGTACTGTGGCTGTAGACAGCCAGCCCCAGAGGAGATGGTGGCTATTGGCTCTAGGAACCACATACAAAAGATGACTTCATTTAAATTAAGGGGCTAGACAGCCTAGATTGTTTTACCTGTTTTTTCACTCTGTGAATCTCTAGGCACACAAGCACAAGCCTAGGCCCACACAAAGAGCCTGCTATGGAAAGACAGACAAGCAGCAAGGCAGAAGTGGGCATCAAGTACCTGTCTCAGTTTTGCTGGCAAAGCCCGCCGCCTGCTTGATGGCTGCTGCTGTGAGCGCTAATCCTCGGCTCCTCTTCATGCCATGCTGAAGGACGGCTTCAAACTGGGCACACAGACAGGTCACCCTGCAGGAGAAGCAGGGACTCATCAGTCTACCTGGGAAGTGACAGCAGCAGAGTGGGCTCCAGCACTGAGGTGAGCCACCAGGTGCGACTCCAGAAGACACCTGGATTTGCAGACCTAGAAGCTCCGAAAGCCCCACCCTATTTTTGTTTGATTCAAGTCAGGGATGCCCCTCAGGACCAGTGCTGGAAGAACAGGGGAAAGGGTGCCAACCAGCAGGTAATGCAAAGCCAGTTTAAAAACAAATCAGTCCTGTGGGAACTGCATTCAATTCACAAGTCTCAACTCTTAATTCAGATCACATAGTTTACAAAGCACAAAGCTAGATGACATTTTCAGAGGCTGAATCCAGTAGCCTGCCAAACCAGAAACACTCTAATTTCATGGCCTGTTACTTACTGTCATGTGAATTCTTGTTACTTATTATATTATAAGAGATTACATCGTGAATTCCTATCTAGAGGTGACAAAATTTTCAATTAAGTTACAATTGCTGTGCATTTAATTGAATTTCTCAATAACTGAAAAAAAAAAAATGGGAGCTTCTGAGCATGCCCGTGGAGAGATGAAGTCAGGGAAATCACATTGGATTCTCAGGTCCTCCCTAGGTTCTTGGGCCTCTGGTTCTTGGCCCATGCTTTCTGAGCCCTTCGATTCACAGCCAATGATAGCTCCCATGTGCTAGGCCTTGTTCTGGGCTCTGGAAACACAAAAGGTGGGGGAAAAGGTGGGACACAGTGACACACACCTGTAATTCCAGCTCTCATGAAGCAGAGGCAGTTGGATCTCTGAGTTCAAGGCCAACCTCACCTGTTGTCAGGTCAGACAAGGTTAGAGAGAGAGAGACAGAGAGACAGAGAGAGAGAGAGAGAGAGAGAGAGAGAGAGAGAGAGAGAGAGAGAGAGAG